AGTAGTAGTAGTAGTAGTAGTAGTAGTAGTAGTAGTAGACCTGGTTCGAGAAGCTGGACGCCGCGGCAGCAGGTTGCCATGCGGTGAGAGGCGAAATTGAAACGGGGGGAGCCGCGTGCACGACCGAGGAGGGCAACAAAGGCCTGCTGGAGGCGCGCGAACGCGTGGCCTCGCACCCGGGCAACCAGCGGGCCTTCAGGGAGGAGGCGGGCGGCGATGCAGCCGTGCAGGAAGCCTACCGCAGGATGGCTGACTACTCCGACCAGTTCTTCTCGGACGACCAGTTCACGATGAACCTGTACTACAACTGCAATGCAAACAAGATCAGGGACAACCCATGAGGGTGCAGGCCCGTCATCCGCGCGGACCGCTGGACACAGCTCCTCCCCCTCGAAGAAGAGGCGGGGGGCCGAAGTGGCCAGCGATGGTACTGCCATTGCGGGGCCCGGTACACGACGACCGTGGGCGTGTGCACGAAATCATCGACCACGCAGCCAAGCCACCGAAGGCGTGGTACCTACTGGCCAATTCCCCGAAGAGGACATCAGTGACCTGAAGACCCTCCTGCGGGCGGACAAGCCCAAGAAGAGCAACATCGCGGTGACCGATCCCACGGACCTGCTGCAATACCTTCCGCAAGTAGAGCCCTTGGCGCTGGGCACAATGTTCAGGAAGTGCTCGGCTGATTCGACTGGTGGGCATGGGAGGGACATTGGTATTGATGAACGACCTCACGTGGGATAAGATACCTGAGTTCGACTGGTGCGACATGTACTCGCAGATAGCGTGGGGGTTCAATGACCCTGCGTGGGCGGGCCAAAGCAAGAATACCAGGATGGCGGTACTGAACTACGAGCAGCGTCACACGCTGGAGGTCGGCAGCCTTGCCAGCGGGGGGAGTGCAGGGGCAGCCCCGAGTGCTCCCCCCGTTGACGGGCCGCCGAAGGACCAGAGGATGGGTGATGCAGGGAGAGTGGGCCCGCCGCCGCCACCCACACCCGCGGCGCTGACCAACGTGGAGGTGCCGCCGCCGCCACCTGTGGGCCCACCGCCAGGCGTCGAGTCTAAGTTGTTTGGTCCCGCGGTGGGGGGCAGTCAGTGGGGCGGGGTGGTTCGTGCGCTCCCGTCCGAAGTCCTCCCGCTCAAAGCCGAGTGGCTCTGAGGCCCCAGGGCTTCAAGGCTCGAGTGAGTGAGTGAGTGGCTGCGCGCCTGCTCTGTCGCTGTGCACTACCTCAGCGCTGCGCCAACTTTAATGATCGCCAGGGCGCACCAACTTGTGGCTGACCGAGGCTCCACCGTGGCCTCTCTTGTGTGCCCTGTGCTATTCTGTAGCACTAGGGCCGCCCCGTGGGCTGCGGGCCGTCCGAGCGTTGCCGTGCAGCCCTCGGTGCCTCAACTAAGTGACCAGCCATTTTAGCTTGCCCCACCCCGTTTCTCGCTGGAGGCTCTTGCCACATGGGGCCTCCCGAGCTTCAGCGGTCGGGCGGTACTGGGGTAGCCCCGTGTGCTGCACGTCCTGTGTTGTCTTGGGTCCGGCCCGTCTTGATGCGCCCTGGCGGCCACGTATGGGTCGGGCGGTGCTGGGGTAGCCCCGTATGTCATACGCCCTGTGGCTGTTTTGGGCCAGGATCGTCTCAATTTGCCGTGGTCGAGCCACTACAGCTTCGTCAATCCGCGGTGCGGGCCCCGCCTTGCTTCGCACCCCACTTGGCGCCTGTCTCCTTGTAAGGAAATGAGACAGCCACAGGGCGCTCGCCCCAACGTGGTCGAGCCGTGGTGATGTGGTGCACGTGACCGCTCGTAGTAGTAGTGATAGTGATAGTAGTAGTAGTAGTAGTAGTAGTGGTAGTAGTAGTAGTAGTAGTAGTAGTAGTAGTAGTAGTAGTAGTAGTAGTAGTAGTAGTAATAGTAATAGTAATTTCGGCAACGTATTAAGTAGTAGTGTAGTAAGTAGTAGTAAGTACTATGGGGAGATAGTAGTATTAGTAGTCGTAGTAGTAAGTAGAGTAGTAGTAGAAGGTAGTATATGAGGTGGTGCAGTAATAATGTCATAAGTATTCCGTAGTAGTAAGTAGTAGTACAGTAGTATGTATAGTAGTAAGTAGTAGTAGTAGTAGTAATTCAGTAGTAGTAGAAGTAGTAAGTCTTATGTCTTAGTCGTGTAGTAGTAGTAGTAGTAGTAGTAGTAAGTAGTAAGTAGTAGTAGTAGTAGTATTAGTAATAAGCAATGTAGTAATGGTAGCGTAGTCGTAGTCGTAGTAAGAGTAGTAGTAGTAGTAAGTAGTGAGGAGTAGTAAGTAGTTATAGTAAGTAGTAGTAGACAGTAGCAGTAGCAGTAGCAGTGGCAGTAGTATTAGTAGTAGTAGTATTAGTAGTAGTAGTAGTAGTAGTTACGTACGTCACTAGTAGCAGTAATAGTTGCCAATTAACGTAGGGGTATAGTAAGTAGTAGTCAGTAATATAGTAGTTGGAGCCAGTAATAGTAGTAGTGTTGATGGTAGTCTAGTAGTAGTAGTAGTAGTAGTAGTAGTAGTCGTAGTAGTATGTCGTAAAGTAATAAGTCCGTAAAGTCGTAGAAAATACTATGAAAATGCCTAGTGGGAAGTGGTGAGTATGTAAAGTAGTAGTAATAGTAGTAGCAGTAACGCCAGTAGTGGTAGAGTAGTAGTAGTAGTATTAGTAGTCAGTAGGCAGTAGTCAGTAGTAGTAGTATAGTAAGCCGTAGTAGTAGTAAGTAGTAGTAGTAGTAGTCAGTCGTTTAGTAGTCGTTTCGTAGTGCGTAAGTAGTCGTCGAACTAATGATAGTAGTCGTAGTAGTCGTAGTAGTCGTAGAAATAATGATAGTAGTAGTAGTAGTAGTAGTCGTAGTAGAAGTAGTCGTAGTAGTAGTAGTAGTAGTAGTAGTAGTAGTTGTAGTTGTAGTTGAAGTGGTCGTAGTATCAATCGTCGTAGTGGTGGTGGTAGTCGTAGTAGTAGTAGTAGTAGTAGTAATAGTAGTAGTA